GATAATGCCATTGAATTTGGTGAAAGTTGGGAAATACAAGACATTGAGTAAGTAACCAAGTAATTTATTTTAACTCTAATTCGAAGTAGGTCACTTAAACTTTTCATGTAAAATAATGACCAAGACAGTACTTTGGTTGAGGTAATGGTTAGTGTTCGTTATTGCTTCTATATATTCAAATAACTCCCAAACTAAAAGGCACTCCGACAGTGCAAACATACTTATCCTTACATTGCATTTACCTAGATATAGAGATGAACTGTTTCAAAAGTCCTTTCCCCATGGTAATCAGATGTATATCTCCCTCAATATATAATTTATTTGTTTATGTTTCAACTTGAGGGTTACCCCTTCTTAAACAGATCTTAAATCTATTTAGACAATGGTTAAGAACTTGTCAATACAATCCTAAAAATTTTGCAAAAAATATTATTTTTAGTAATCTGGCAGTAGTGAGAGGTTCTTTTAAAAAACTTGCACCATTATATTATCCTTGTCAGAAATATTTGAGGTCCTAGATGGATAAATAATCACATTAAACAAACCAGTGCCGACAACAATAAAAAACTTCATTGGCGAAAGTAAAAACAAATAATAATAGTGAGCGTTGCATGTGACTATGACTTGTTAAATAACAATTTGTATGTAACTCTATTCTTGTAACTCAAACTGCTCGTATCCATTTCTATCATCCAGTAATATCCATATTGCTTCAGATGCTGGTTCACTGTTAAATAAGTTTATTTCGAGATAGAAGGCAAAAGCAATTACGAGGTTTAAATCAATTAGGTTTTAGAGAAGAAGAAAAACATTCTACTGTGAATCATCAGATTATTGATTACATAATATATGAAAGTTGACATGTATTAACAGGTATTCATATACTAACTTGGTTTATGCATTATCATTTTTAACAGGTGCAATTGATCAAGGTATACAGTGATGACGCTGATACCGTTTACAAGACTGATGAACACTGCTTCACAATTGTCGGTCATCATTCTCTGGGTGCAGGATTAGTTTCATGAGTGTTATATTTATCGATTTTGTTAGGTTACATCATCATATGCCCTACGTACAGCACTTGTTATTGGCCCTTAACGAATATAAGTTAACGATTCCTAAAACATCATCTCGAAAGGCATTACCAAGTACTTTTCCAGATACCTTTATTACAGTTGATTCTATGTAATGGTCGTAAACTGTTATTGTATTGGTGAAAGGATTATTTACCTACATTTCAATGTAATTAAAAATATGGCATAACATTTTCCTATCTGTAATTGTGTTGTTTTCAAAACACTTCAACTAATCAGTAAGAGGTTTATATTTATTGGTGAAGTTTAAATCTAAAACTTATAAAGACAGTAAGCTACTGAATTCAATGTCACGCTATAAGAATCTGGTCATGGTTGCTACATATGCAGCTGTGAGTATGCATCGCCACGACCCACTCAATAAGTTTGCAATCGCAATCCTTATCCTATCCAGTACTCTGAACACAACTTTTCCCAGGAAAATGTAAATAATTTGTATACAAATGCAGTATTCAACAGCAAATGCTAACAATCCTGTATGAATAGTAATAATAATATCCATGTATTGAGACAATGAATCACACATGCCGCTTTTTTGTGTTTGTTTAAGTATATGATTGTAATCTTACACATATATCAATCTAGTTGCCTACTTTTAGGACTCAAATAGACAAGTAAGCTTATATAACAGAAAGTAACGAATTTGTATACAATGAAATGGAAGGAAATGAAACATACCGTTCCAATTCCGTTAGTCATATTGAAATCAACATGGAAGTATTTCATCAATTTATAACTAGTGGCAGCAACGTGGAAATGTGTTCAATGCATACAAGATAGATGAACGCATCCACTCAGACGAGGAACAGGAATGGGGTAACCATGTTGACGCATAATTTACAGAAGAACAGACTTAAATACCAGTATGCTGCCCATGTACTCATTCGCACCTATCACATTGTTGGTCTTGAAAGTTTGTCTTAGACAAGGTAATCTATATTCTAGCTATATACATTCATGCAAAGTATGTCACATTCTAAAACAGAGTGCTATTCCATTACAACCAAACGATTTATACCAGAGTCAGGATGAATTCGACTGTACAATCGGATGTGTCTTGTTTTCATGTTCATTGTCCTGTTTCTGTCGACCCCCTGATACTGTCTTTACATGGGTTGCTGTCTGTAGAGGATACTAAGCACGGATTTGGGGGGAAATATATTCGGCTGCCACATAGTGTGGCAAGAACGTAGAGATCGACAATAACATTTTAGCAAGTGACTTGGGTTCAACATCTGAGACAGTGTTCCCGGCATTGGTCGCTGATTGGTGTAGGAATCAGTCGATGTGTTCTTAATGCCCGTTTTATGGACTCATTCGTGTAAAGAGATCAGGTATCCAGACATTATGTTGAGAGTTACTCTTCCTATTCAAGGAAATCGTTACGCAACTTCCGCTTAAAACCTATATAGATATATATACTATATATCTCGGTAATCAAAGGGAGATCTCTCATTAATAATTTAACGTGGTATGAGCCATCTGTGTTAGGTACCATCAGCGTTACATCTATGTCGAGGTACTGTGACATGCGGTAGGAACATGAACAATGGAATATATTACGAGTTTCACCGGAACTTTCACTTAAAGCTGGTAGAGTCATATGTGCACATTTGACTGCACATATCGCTGATTATAAAGCAATCGTATTGTCTTCTAGATTACGAACATTATTGCAGTATCAGTCAAAAAACTTATTATCATATTAAATCCTTGGATGTCATGGCATGTTTCTTTAATGTCATCTTTTCTCCCTCCAAGCACCACTTGAATGGAGCCTGGGTATTAGTTTCATAATTTGAATAATAAATCCATTAATTGTTAAAGTTAAACCTATTATAAGATATTTTGATAGAACGAAATTTATTGTAACATTTATTGTGAAATATTAAGATATATATATTGTTTTATTTGTCACATTCACAGGGTATAGTAGAAAATTAAAATTCATACATGTAGGAAAAAGTGGCGTTTGAATCTGATTAAAATTCCTGATTTGCGTGCCATATGATATATATTGATTACCCGATTCATTATTATGCTAGTCACACGATATATATCAGTAAAGCTTCAATTGAGCTGCACATATGTGTCTAATCCAGGGGCGACACTGGGATCTTTTTATACCCATGATTAATCGCTACCTATTTCCCTGACAAACGTTATTTTACTGGCCATAATGAATTTAGTCGATACAAAACTGCGGCAAAATAAAACAGTAATATGTTGTTGCTACAAATGATCCCATTCTAATGACATGGTCTCCTGTAACGTATAAGGATGGGCCAATCAATGTCGCTTCAATCGATAAGTTAGTTTGAGTGTGTAATTTTCCGTCATCTAGAATAATGTAAAATCTAAAAGTAAAAGTTAGCTCAAAACGATATCGATATTTACATAATATAAAAGATTTGTCATAAGCATCATTTATATGAAAGGTATGTCCAGGTGATGCTATATCAAAATGCACGTACTATAAATAGCCGAGAAGCAATATGACGCAACTATGACAAATGTCTTTGAAATACTAGGATATGTTCGCAAAATAATTCATATTGAAAAATATAGAGAAATTGACAGGCAAATCGCCTTTGAATGGCAACACGTGTGCGGTCTATGGGTCACTGAAACATGTCAGATATAGGAAGTGAAAACAATAAAAGGAAGATTTGCCAGTGATATCTTGATGATACATTATAATTATTCGACTTTGTGTTATAGCAGCAGATCTAGAAATGGGGGTAGTGTCCACGTTTTGCATGGCTTATTTAGATGTCGCCAGGGTTATATATACACTTTACAGTTGATTGAACATATATATGATTATATATTGATTGTCATAGATTACGATTTCATTATATTCAATGTCATTCCATGTCGCTGCGACGCCAGTATTTATCCTGCTTAGTCAAAGTCAATGTCATTGTGGCAACGATGCATTAACAAGCTGTCATATGAACATATATTATAAAATAGCCTATGTTTGTATTGGAATTTTGAACAAAAGATAAATACTTTAATTATAAATAAATCAATGTTTTTTTAAAGTTATATACATTTCACCTACACAATATGGTTATTGGGAAATAATGGGAATGCGCATAAGCAAATATTCTCAAGTCGATTGGGTGTTTTCATTAGATATGAACAATAGAGGTTTTTGCTGGGTATTGTATTACAATGTACTTGTATATACATAAAGAATGTCGGAATTAGTTTGGTAAATTGGTTTGGGTTGTATCGATTTACGTATTTTTGGCGAATTTCTTTGTGGTGATGTATAGCGGTATGTAGTTTAAAATCGGATCACGTCATGGAATTTGTTGTCATTATTTGGTTCAGAAATGTTGAAAATATATGGAAAAATTCATTTTTTAAAAACCTTTTTTGTGTGAAGAGCTACCAGTTTTAATGCTTTGGTCCTTGATATGTCCTTTCCTTGGATGGATCTCTGTAAGAATTGTTCATTTCATTAAGATTTCATTAATTATCTATTTTCGTTTTTTTCTTAAAACTATCTGCCCAAATGGTTTGGTACTTGATATGTAGGTAGAATTATTGTTGGATTTTCATGACAATATCATTAATTTACAAGTTTCTTCCATTTTGATTGCTTTAATATGTGTATGTTTTGATCTTTCGATCATTGGGTCACTTGCCTATATAGGTTTGTATGTATTTGGAGTTTCATTGGTTATGCATGTTTATTTCCCGCCAGTTTTGTATTCTATACATAGAGAATTCAGTTCTGACATTGAAATACACGCATCATTCATAAATTCCCATATCTTCTTAAATAATGGTCCTATATTATTTTTTGAGAGACTAAGTCTCCCTGAGTTAGGGAAAAAATGTTTTCGACCATATCTGGTATATACATGTTTGGGGACATTCTCTTTTGCATGACATCATACACTAGCAACCATGGCGACACACTCATGCTTAAAACTTTCAGGCTAGCTGCTTTGAAGTTCGCATTTGGGAATTATGGCCAGTAACACCATGGCGTCTCTCTCTCTCTCTCGTAATGCATGGAATCACCTACTGCAACACAGTGGCTGATTGGCTGCCGATCACTTGGCTGGTGCATAATGCTAAAAATAGCACAGAACAATATATCATATTTGAGTCAGTGTTCTATTCTCTTGATCAAAAGTTAGGAATGATATGGTCTCGTGACCTCATTATGCATACAATTATTACGGGCAAACCCATTTTAGATAGAGGTTTGCTACCAGAGGGGTAAAGTCAATAGTCATCAGAGCGATAAGGCAGGCGAACCCGCAGCAACCCAGCCAGTGTCCAAGGCATCCAACACGTTTTTGACACTTAACAACCTATAACAACCAGTTCAAAAGTTCCTACCCAATGTTTTCGAATATACGTTCGTTTTCGTAAAGGTTTGTTAAAGGTGGGTATGTTTCTAGCAACCACTAACCTATTCACAGCAACGTGGGTTCAACAACCTATTTGCCCAGGTCGAGTATTGCTGCTTGCAGCTGTGTTTTCAATTGTGACAGGCGGCGATGGTAGTGCGAGCTGGATTGGCCGACCGATTATAGTAGCTAATGCGTCTATTATTCATAATGAAATTTGCTCACGCTTCTTAGGCATATGCTGCTGTCTCCTTTTAGCCCTACCGTGTGCACTGCTGTCTGATCTGTTTATCGTGATATTTGGAATCACGCGCCAGCTAGGTCAGACTGGTTTTAAAAAGTGGTTGCGCTCAGCCATGACCTCATTGGTGTGCGTTTGCTCGGTGTTCGAATATATACGGGTACTGGAACTCTACAGAAATGTGTGACAGGGTAAGTGCTACAAGTCAAATTCAATATATTTTCATAAAAAATATATACAAAGCATTATAACTATTTATCCATTGTTTTATATAGTGAATCGCCAAGTGTTCTGTCAACAGACTATAGTGTGTTGTTTTGTCATGATAACTGTCAACTTTGTTTTTAAATGGGCAGGGTATTGCTAGGGAGGTTCCGATAGCCGACTTTGAGACACGGGAAATCGTTCACGCATTATGTAAATTAGTTTCGATTGTATCTATCAAAGCACCAATGAAAAATGATATACACTTATACACGCGTGCTGTGATTATTAATTTACGTACTACCAACACAAACATATATGTGTTTTAATAAGCAGTTAATACTTATTGACCTAGGCTACGCCGCTTCGGATCATTAAACCGAATATTGAGCGATGCTATAGTAACTATGTGTGTAATTATAGTAACAAAATGAACATAACATAAAACGAACACAAGGATCTGTTGCAGACGCCATTTTCGTAAAAGTAATTGCGCATGCGACAAAACGAACTCAAAGTCTCTCGATTTTCATTATTAATCTGTTTTGTTGACCATTACGTGGTCTTGTTCTGTAAAGTCAATGTGAAGATCTTCCATATGAGGGATAATAACACAATTGTTTTCATTTTCGACGAAAAATTATCATCACTTACAGTTAAACTCATATAACGCGTCCATGTACGCAGCAGCTGTGTGTGGGACAAGCAGCTTAGTTGGTATATTTCAGTCTAATTAATACACTGCCGATTGAACCTGTTACCACCTCATTGCTCACCTGTTAAGGTACCCGGCGCTCTTGTATTTTTTGTTTGCTTTTGTTTTTAGGTTTGTGGTCTTTTTATAGCTAGTATAATAATAACACTGATTTGTGCTCAAACTTTGACATTTTTTCAATCTTTTTGATTTTATTCACATTGATGTTTTATATTAATGTTTCATAGAATAGATATGAAAGTTGGTGGTTATTTATTGACTTGTGTTTGAAGTTTCATTTCCATCTGACATTCCCTTTTTCAATGATGCTTTCTAAAAGTCTGCGATGTGTTCTGACACTGTTAGTTCATGGGCCATGGAAATATCGGCACCAACAAGTCAATGCTGATCATGTAAGATATCTTTGGAAAGCTTTTAGTGTGTACTCTATGTGTCAAATGTGTAGCTTTTCTAATATTATGAGAGGGCAAAGTTCAATATAAATTACATTTTTATTGGTTAAAGCCTGGTATATATTTCAGTTTATGGGCATCATTATTCTACAAGGAATCATTTTATAATAAAATATATAATTAGTATCAAAACAAGTACGTTGCCACGTATACTTTGTCCAGATATGAACATATATGCAAACTCAGTTGCCTTTCGTCTTTCCTTTAAAACAAATTCCTGATCAAAATCTTAAATAACCTGCAATTATGATTTGTACACGGGGATGACCATTCATGAATCAAAGTGTGAATATATATATTGTTGCAGGTAAATGACAAGCCGCAAACAGAACCAAATTTGGCAAAACATGGCTCATTAGGACAACTAATTTCTCATTTTCCTACATTTTGGATATATTCTCAGTTCGATAGTATAATAAGTGACATTGTAAATACCTTTATATATAGATAAAATGACATTGCAGTGTGAGTTTGTCGTGATTATTTGTTTACCTACGTCACCAAAAAGTAATTTTACAAGGACATAACCGTCAAAAAATATAAAATAACTGAACTGTAAATAATTGTTCGAAGCGCTACTAATGAAATAAAAGAGTGTTTTGTTTATCGTTAGCTTTTAAATTTACAATTGGGCTCATAAGTACGGCGTGTTCGTCATATTCATAAGAGTGATATTTTGATGAATTGTCTAAAGTATGAACACCTAAAGTCGTGTTGAAAATGTTATATTACTTCTTGGTTGCATGGGGAATGTTTGAAATTACTTTCTATGATATTAAATGGCACCTGGTCGCACACAAGAGACACTACTTAGAAAAATAAGTGATCACACTATATACTATTAGTTTATTGACAAAGTTGGCCATTTTCTGGTTTAGCATATATTTACAAACTGTCGCATAAATTACTATCAACGTGGTCAAATCTCAATTTTTTACCATTTTGTATATACGTTGGTTAAATTGTTGTTAAATTATTATGGAAATTAAACATGTAGATGTTGTATTTTTGACTTTGCTAAATATTTCATGTACTTTAATTCATAGAGTTAGGGCTACACAATCACGTGTCATGACCATGACCTTATTAGCTGATCACATTACGCCATGTATGTCATTATGAGCTGATCACGTGCTTCGCAGTATAAAGTGACACTTCAAGATAAGTCAAAATAAAGGTGATCTGTACGCTAAAAGTATACGTCAATTGTCTCGCAGTTTATTCTAAAATGTTTATTGACTCCGTAATTATCCACAAATATATATATGCAGATAACAAGTCATGACATAATACCACAGTTTTGTCAATTTTCACTGTAAGTAGACGGGAATATGTATATATGTACCATAATAACAAGCCATGTCAGGCATCTATGGAAAGCATTCGTTAAAACAAAATGGCCACCAGTCGGCCATATTATATATCATTCTAAACAAATTATAATGCTGCAGCATCAAAGTACAATTATTTTCAAAGTGTGTAGTAAGTTTGAAATGAACATATAATACCTACAAGCGCTACTTCACGCGTGACTGTGGCTCCTTAAAAGTCTTTCGATATGTTGTAATCGTCGCAGGTATTACCAAGTTCAACCACCGGTATAATCTCTTTTCGTACGCGTTGATCTATGCAACAATCAAAAACAATATCTTTCAGTTGTTAATGTGGGACCCATATTTCGTGTATGCGTGACACGACGGCCAAACCATTTAAAGCACCACAGTCACCGAGAAGGAGCGTTCAAATTATGTTTAAACAAAGACACTGGAGAATATATTCCCATAGTCTTTGGTTTATCTTGGGAGTCGTCACCTGCGCATGCGGCAGACGGCCATAGCGTGTCTTCGTCTGGGCCATTAAGTGGATAGAGGTGTGCAGCCCACCTCTCGTAAACCATACTCAATTTTAAACCATTTTTTTATGTATATACCCACTTCTAAACAAAAGTGTTTTCAGCGATCTACTTGGCTTACCTCGTTACCACATACACTATGTAAGCTGGGGGTCACTGACATGAAAAACTACAAATGAATGGTGGTAAGTATCTGTATTGTTCAAATGACAGTTGATTTAAGTTTCAAGTTACACGCGCATGCTTTACCATGTTGCTGTCATTAAGAATCAGCAATTTATTCAGCCTTTTCGGTATCTGGCTTTGAATATAAGGACGTGTGAAAAGTAAATAAATGCTACACACCTCTAAACCAAAACATTGATAATGACGACCCACATATAAAAAAAACGTGAGGTGACGACCCGTACGTCGCGTGGAGCCCTGGTCGAACACGACGCTGATAGGCGACGAAGGTGATATAATCTCTACAACTTAGAACATACAACTAACAACGTGTCATTGTTTGTGTTTTTTTATTAGAAAATATGGAATCTGGCACAAATGTAATGTTATCAGTAGATGAAAATGGCAAAGAAATACAGGAACACAGGAAGAAAAAGAAACGTTTTGTTACTGTTTCTTCTAGTTTCATGCAATGTGTTTATTTTGATGGCTACGCTGTATCAGTTACTTGAATCAAAGCAGCTATTGGAAGAATCCGTGACGGCGTCGACAGAGCTGACCAATGACGTCAGCTCTTACTTTGCTGGTTCGGGCGATGATGAGTTTTCGGATCCAACTCAGTGGTCAATAACCAAGACACAGGAACAGTTTTCTGCGATATTAAGCAATTATACATTAACAGGAAGTAACGTCAATAACTTTGACTTTCCGTATCTATTTAACCCCAGTGGCATTTGCAATGTTCCCCGAAGCATAAACAATGTTTTTGTTTTAATGATGACCCCGATTTCCCCACTGAAAGCTGACAAAAGAGCCGTCATCAGAAATGTCCGTGGACGATTAAAAGAAGTCGATGGTTACCAAATAAGGCATGTGTTTGTCATGGGCAGGCCAACTGTAAATGTCTCGAGTATTTTGAACACCTTAAAACTGGAGAGTGATACGTTTATGGATTTAGTAGTTTTGGATTTTGATGACTCGTACTATAATCTCACCCTGAAAACGATGATGCTGCTGCGCTGGGCGGTCACGTACTGCCCAAATGCGAAGTATGTCATGAAAGTTGACGATGACGTATTTGTCAACTTGGATAACCTCATACCGCTTCTGAGCGAGGCACCGCGAGAAGGATACGCCGTCGGCTACGTGTACGTACAATCGAAACCGATACGCAAGACATGGAATAAATGGTACGTAAGCGAGGAAGAGTGGTCGTACGAGTTTTATCCGCCATACCCAACGGGTCCAGCGTACGTTCTGTCAATGGACGTGGCGAGGGCCGTGTTAAAATCGGCACGGCGTATTAGAATGTTTCGCATGGAGGATGTCTACATCGGAATGAATCTGTTAAAATTGTCGATAAAGCCCGTCCACCACAATGGGTTTGACCGTTACGGTATATGCCAGTCACTACCATGCTGCGTGCGTAACGTCATCGCGACGCACTACATAACCAGCGTGAGAATGGCGACTTTGCCGCGTAGAATGGAGCAACTGAATTACACGAAATCGTGCCACGCTACAAAAGTTATCAAAAAAATACATCGATTAGAACTGTCGTAGTTTTTACTTAACAAGACGCATTCTTCGGGGATAAAAGTCAAAGGTCACTTTTTATATCACGCAGATGTGCTCGATCCGTTGTTTCCATGGTAAATGAGGGGGTATTATAATAAGTTGGCGACAGATTTTCTTTTGGGATTACGTGGATTATATTATTTCGATAGAACTGTGTTACTATAAATCTCGACTAACACGATGGTAGCTCCAGCCATACTGACGTTGTCTTTAGTGTCTCAATCACTTCACTGTCACTTCGCTTCACTTCTTTATGCATATGCTCATACCGATCATACCTATCTGAGGAGTGAGACAGTGTTGTAAGATATCGCATTTGACTGAACGTGATATATATTACTTAAAGGACGGTGGTCGTCGAGCCACGTCTGGTTCGATATGGGACTCATAGCGACATATACAGCACATGTAAAATACATTGGTTGTTTACTTGAAATTCGAACACGCGTTGCGCGACGACCGCCGCGCTTTAAGCGCATTAGCTACGGCGTAGGGGCGCTATTTAGTACTAGTGTTGCCCCCTCCCCCTCGGAAGTTACACGATGAACTTCAAATGAGCCAGCAGTCTGCATGATCGTCACTGACGTAATCTAACAAAATATCACCCGCCGTTGAAACCCACAAATCGTATATTAGCTAATTAATACGCGTTAATTGTAGTGAATAAGTGAACAATTATTAATTGCAATTAAGGAGTACATTCCGTAACTAGAAGTACACTTGTTGGCTACTGTGATAGCAATTGTGGTTCGACAGTTGGTTGGTTTCTGTAATTCCCGCACTAAGACGTCGATATCTTAGTACATGTGGTTGCTATCGTCTCCTGACGTAATCTAGTTGAACTTGGAGAGATCCACATTATTAACTCAAACTTTAATTAACAGTTGACCGAACTTTGAGATACTGGTAACATAAATTTGTTGTCTTGTTTAACGTTTTATGTTTCCCGCAACTCGAAGTTCGGTTAACAGTTAATCAAAATTCGAGTTATTAAATTAAACGTTAAACCAAAACAACAAATCTATGATGCCCGTAACTTGATGTTCGTTAACTGTTTATTAAAAGCTCGAGTTACTAAATGTGGCCGTTCACCAAAACAAAAATGTATGAAGTTTTGTTAAATGTTACTTGAACATCGAGTTACGTTTGGGCGTGGTTTCTGGAATATCGGCGTGGTCATTGGGGTTTGGTTGAGTGTTGAGGTGTGATTTGCATAAACGAAAGGATATATTGTCTTTTATTCCATTTCACGAGGCTCTCTTCAAACCAGCTTAGCGTACTTTATCACATACCTCGTATTACCGGCCTCGTAACGCTATGGGAAGTGCGCCCTCACATCGGGGCAATAATTTGCCGGATCACGCCCGGCCAAGCGCATGTTTTTCATCAATCAAAACAAAACGCGCCATTTTACGCCGTGTGTTTGAGGTTACGTCGTAATAAAATTGTAATTACACCATAAGGTATATGATAAAACTTGTATGAACTGGATACCTCGGTCGTACGGCTTACGCACCCTCGCATGACCTCGGGCCGTAAAAGCCGTATCCAATCCATAAAGAATAATGTGTTATGTGTTGTATATCAGCATAGTCAATATCAAACATGTGTTGCTGAATAAAAGTGGATAAAGTTAAAGTGGAGGAGTCGTCACCTGCGCGTGCGTCAGATGGCCATATCGTGTCACTCTTCGCAAACAAGTGTCTACCCATGAGCCTTTGCGTTTTAGCGTGTGTTGTTATCGTTGCTTGGGACTCAATTATGCGCATGCGCAGGTGATGACTCCCCCTTCCCCACTTTAAACATAATTATCTGGTATTTAAAATAGTTACTGAAAAAGCGCTACAGTCACAGCCACGCAGTAAGGTGCAAATAAACAACTATTCTACACGAGTACGAGCGTACGCTTTAATATATGCATTACGTACAATTATTTGAATGGACGATTTGTTTACACTGATGAACTACAGTGAAAGGCAGATTGCTGTACCATAATTTATAAACAATTTTATAACAATTTGAAAAATGAGTGGTGCCAGAGCTCTATATTATCATGGCATGACAACTGTGACCGCCCACTTATTCATAATGAAGGGCTTGCTGATTGGACGGTGTTGTACTGATTCATTAATATTAATTGATGATGTTGTCATTTTGTTTCCGGGTTAGTCAGTTTGAATTCAACTATCGTAATCATTTTGATTTCAATGAGATTTGACTCATCACAGCACAGAAAACTTTAAACGGTTTCTGGTACAACAATCACTATAAAAAATATATTTATAAAACGTTTATGACATCCCCAGCCTTATGCTTTTCACTGCTACAGCATTATACACTTTCATGATAATGAGTCAACGATCATTATAAATCAGATTAAATCAACAAATTTGAATCTTATTATATTGCATCTACTTCCTGGTATGGGATCTTGATAAGTTCTAGATATCAATTGAACATACGACGTTAATTATGCATATTAAAAAATAAAAAAATAATGGTTTTTAGTCAAATGCGTTGTTTTTGTCTCAGTCTCTGAAACTACTTTGAGTACACTCAAGAATGGCCTGGCGAATCGCAATGCAACTACGTAGGGAGCAAGTAATTCTTTTCTGTCACTGATTGGCTGTCTCCCAGAATTCAGTGCATTGCCACGAGAACTCGCATGCGCAGACTGACCCGCACGTAAGGCCCGCCCACAACACAGACCGATTCACTTGTCTACAAAATTTACTACCATCGGCAGCCTTTAGTCACGTCCCATTACGACTAGAGTAGTTTGTTGAGCAAGTATGTTTACATCGAGTTCGTGAAAACTAAGCGATTCAAATGACACAACGCATATAAATTGTTTTATTATACTGTAAAATGACTAATTTTCACTGGGTTTAAATTTCACTGTTTTAACATTTCAGACATATTCGGTGAGTTTTAAATTCACAGTTTTATCATTTAGATAATGTGTTCTATGCTCAATTTTACATATTCACTGGGTTTTAATTTAGCGCATTTTCCAGTCAGCGAAATAAGCAAAATTAAAACCCAGTGAATAATTAACCCCTTTTACAGTAGTATCCTATAAATACAATTTCCAATGTAAGCATTACGATACACGGTCTCAGAAAAAAAGTCATTTTGGTTATACAGTTTTTATAAATTGGCAAATTACTCAATTAGGAACACATATTTGTATGCTGAGGATGGTTGCCATGATGCATTGTGTTCCATGTGTGATCATGTATACGGGTACATGGATCAGGTTACTGGCTGGAATGTCATGGGGCAATGGTTACTGGCTGGAATGTCATGGGGCAATGGTTACTGGCTGGAATGTCATGGGGCAATGGTTACTGGCTGGAATGTCATGGGGCAATGGTTACTGGCTGGAATGTCATGGGGCAATGATTACTGGCTGTAATGTCATGGGGCAATGGTTACTGGCTGGAATGTCATAGGGCAATGGTTACTGGCTGGAATGTCACAGGGCAATGGTTACTGGCTGTAATGTCATGAGGCAATGGTTACTGGCTGTAATGTCATGGGGCAATGGTTACTGGCAGGAATGTCAATGGGGCAATGGTCACTGAGTGGAATGTCAATAAGGCAATGGTTACTGGCTGGGATGTCGAAGGGCAATGGTTACTGGCTGGAATGTCAATGGGGCAATGGTCACTGAGTGGAATGTCAATGGGGCAATGGTCACTGAGTGGAATGTCAGAGGCTGGGGGTCACCAGCTGTGCTGTCACAGGATAGAGGATTTATGGGGTTGGGGGTTCATTGGCCAAAATGCGATAGGGTGTGGGGGAGAGATTCTGAAGAATAACTACCATTAACTCTCTATTAGAAGCTGCATCCTTAAAAGAAGTCGCACCCATTCTTTTTGAACAATTGAGAAACCAATATTCACCAGTTTTTATATGTGTAGATGCTATAATAGAAGCCATAAACTGCCGCATTATACCATTTTAATAGAAGCCACGGCTTCTAATACAGATTTTAGTTCCCAAGCTGTACACATTTTTTTGTATTGCACATTTTTAAAGGGCAACATTTTAAAAAGATATCTTAAGTGTAGTAAAGAAAATCCATTGCCAAGGTCAGTTGATTAACATCCAGCAATAACGATGTGAATTTCATACATGATGATTCTGATCATTTCTGATCCACTGTTTCGATAAATTGTCACTGCAAATCCTTGGATAAAAATAAAGAACATTCAACATGTTCGCATTATACATTTTTTGCAAATTTTACCAAAATAAAAAGTACCTTTTACTTCAACCAATTTCTTCACACATGCTGTAAAAACTGCTGTATGAATTGTAACGTCACAAAGCTAATGATCATAATTAATTAATTAATTAGTCATTATTTTTGCAAATGAATACAAAATAAAACATTTCCCACTTCGTTGTATTCTTTATTAAAAAGTCAAAAAAGTTGTAGGATGTTTAAAAACTTACAAATTTAAAAGTAAACATTCCTACATGCATGCAGATAACATCAATGGGTATGTACCCAAAATGCATTTGGGCATCTATATGGGTTTCTCACCAGGCTCCAATAACGGTATCAAAACAGATATAAGAGTTTTTTTGAAAATCATGAACATCAAAAGTTACTTTTAAGAGATTTTGACAAAATGTAGCCAATACAGTATTTGTCCAATCAGTACAAAATTCCCCTATTTACTAAAACCTGGAATTACCAAAACATTTTGTAACCTCACTCTAAATATAATGTTTAGGTTTATAATTCTGATAAATTACGTTGACAATCAGTGTTCTCCCCATTACATTTTATCAAATTTGCAAGTGTCAATTTATTCTTTTGTGACCAGCTTTGAATGAAAAGATCTGGGGATTAATGGTGGGCTGAAGTATTTTTATAATTTTCATAGTCACAAACGTCTTGTATCGGTATCTTGTATTTTTGAGAATATTTAATAATTCTGTCTTTGCTCTAATAGAAGCATACATGAAACTAAAATACTTTGTTTATTTTGACTATACACAAACACTCAAGTCAATTACATAAGTTCTAAGTACTGTTGAATTATAGACCTTATGGAAGAATTGTATCTTTCATCTCTACTGGGTCTGTGGTGAAATACGAAATTTTGACTTGCAAATGATTTTAATCATTGTCCCTTTTTAATTGCAAGTGATTTTTAGCATTTTCTCCAATAATTTGAAACAGAAAATACTTCTTTGTACGAGATTCATAAAAAACAATGAAAATATAACAGCCCAAATAGTACTTTACAGAAACTATGTATAACTATAAGCACATTATTAAACACCAGACAAAGTCTAAGCAATGTATTGTGATCTCAGGATCTTTTAAAAAATGACATATCAAAATGTGATAGATAAGTATCAATCACAGTTTATTCATTCCAAATGACCGCCTATACAAAATATACATAGAAATTTCATACAAAAAACTCGATAAGAGGCCATGTTACTAAAACCATGTGTTGTAATAATATGTAGCAACTCGGGATTTGTCAACCAATCAGAGGCTCTGTTACAAAAAAACACAATGAATTTGGCTCAATCCATGGACTACATAAATATGTAGCAGAGCTTCCAATTGTGAGAATCAGATCCAACCTAAACTTTACTGTGGTCTCAAATTTTACTGTAGTCTTGCAACTATTTTATAGAGAATTTAGGAAAATGAAATCTGTATCCAAATACTGTTGTGTGCATTTATTTGCAACAGAAGAATTCCAAGAATTCACATATGTCAGAAAAAATACTTAAAACATCACAGTAATGTTAAACAAACAAACAAACAAACATATAATTGGAAGAAAAAGCAATGACCAAAATAAGGAAACACTAAAAAACCATTGATAAGTCAATGTTTGGTACACATTTCCTACAAATTTAGACCTTCAAATATTTCCTGTAATATCCTTATAGGTTAGACTCAAATAAAGCATTATGAATGATCTCATCATCACACTTTAATCACAGACGTTGACCTTTTCACCACCAGTTTTCTCTATTCATCACACATTCACAAAATATTCCCGCTTATAGTCTGCATTTTCTTCAGAAAATTTGTAAAAAAATAAAAACTGAATATTGACTCAAATTGTGTCTGTTGACTCCAAAATTAGGGTTCATCTCCAGAAATATTGAAAAATATAAAAAAAAAAGTGCAGAAAAATTTGGGCAAGAAAATTTGGTGGTGAAAAGACTAAAAAGAGAATCTAGGTTTTGATGTAGCTAGAGCAGCAACAAACTCATTGTAACTGATTTTTCTGTTGAACTAACTACAGAGGATACATCTTGAAATGAGAAAATACAAGGTATGGGTAGCTTAATAGGTAAAATTAAAAGCAAACAATGTACTGTAAAATACTTTATTTTCGCTTGGAATTAATTTTCGCTATTTTCGCTGAAGGAATGATTCAGTAAAAATAAATTCCATACAAAACGCCCAAAAAGTCTTTTCAGCGAAAATTAATTCCAGCTAAAATAAAGTATTTTACAGTATTTGTATGCATTGGACCTGCATTAAAAGATGACTTTGAGATCTATGACTTTGAGATCTCTGTTTCTTGAAGTTACAATCCCCCTGATTACTGTGATCCCATAAAAATGAGAAAATGTGTTGGCATGACAACAAATCCTGAAATATTGATGCACTGAAGCTAGCCTGTACTGAAAGTCACAGTCTAACCACCAAATGAAACATAATTTTTATTGTTGTAATCACTCAAGGCACTTTATGTGTCTTATCAGGTCAGGTTTTTTTCTGGAATAATTATATAAAACTGCAAGAAAGAGCACTGCAATTTAGCGGCGCCACCAAGTGGCGGAGATAGTTTTCCCTACCAGGGTGTGGAGTTTTTGATAATTCTAAATTAAAATGGAGCATTCTATGGCTTCCTTGGGGCCAAAATTACTATCAGACAGGTCACAGTTGAAGACTGGTCCCCAGGGTAAGGGGGCGCATGGCCATGGCATGAGGGCGCTGTGCCTGTTTCCTTATTTAAAAAGATCTCTGCCGGTATATGAACTTTTTCTAAATCTGATTTCAGAAATTGTTTTGAAAAAGATTTCTCATGAACTGTGCAAAATTCAAAACCTTTTTGATGCTTGCCCATCACACAAAATTGGAATCCAACTCAAAATGCAGATATAATATATCTTACATTGTACTCGATTGAAAAAACAATTATTTTTTTTTTTAATTCTGCTATGACAAACAGATGACAAAAGGAAGACCCTTTTTTGTTCATGTTTACATTTATGGTGGACACAGAGATAACACCAAGACGTGTTGAAATCAAGCATAAACTATGAAGCAAGGCAGTGTTGATCAAAACTGTTAAATCAATTATTTAACGTAAAAAGAAAATTAAACAAGAATTTAATGAATATGTGACAGAAAATTATATCATTTATCGATAACCATAATGTCCTCGTTGACTGGATGGTTGCCATGGTTGCTGGGGTATATTTGGTGGTCGGTATTGTTGTTGATTCATAGCGATAACCTGTGATGGAGTCATAGGTCTTCTTTGTTGTGACTGATAACCCATATCTGTTGCGGAGCCTTGAAACTGTTGTCGGAAATGTTGGCGCTGATCTGACCTGTACTGTTGTCGATGTTGATAGTGACTTGGCTGCTGCATCGATCTCTGACTAGCAAACGTTGAAAGATTCGCCGGCATAGAATGTGATCGGTGAAACGAAGAATGTTCTGGTGGCATTTGCATTTGCATATGCGGTGATGGTAGAATTCCTGCATTGCCGCTAGTATTCGGTGTTTGCTGCCGACTTCCATACCCGTCCTGTTGTTGAGGACTGTTTCGTCCCATGTTCTGTGCAAAATCGTGCTTACTATTCGGCCGACATTGTATTTTCAGTGGTCGATCGTACACCCGAATCCCGTTCATCAGCTGTATTGTATATGGTATTGAGACGTCGTGTTTGAATTCAACGAATGCATAATTACGACGATTACCTTCTTTATCTTTCGCTATCTTTACATCAATTAGCGGACCAGCCTTGAAAAGAAAGTTACAATATTATTAGCATATAATTCGCAGGGAACCAGGGATGGAAACCTTATGGTTGTCATCAAAATGAGTGTCTCTTCAGACTCTTTCAAGTACCACAAATGTGACGCTAGACTTGTTGGAAGAAAAAAGAATACATTGACACATATTTCATATGCAAGAGAGTCATGATGCTTAAACATGTTGCTGGGAAGAACACCTCTCTCTGCGTAACATCAACATTTTCTTTTATTTTTGTTCTGGGTTTTTCACAAAACTGTCTCACAAAAAACATATTGAAATTAAATCATTATAATTCTATGCAAAAATTAAGACAACAATAGTCACAAATTTAATTAATGTAAGGTAAACATTCAATGAAACAAACTATTTTTCCAACATGATT